TGTTACATTAAAAGCACATGTGAACGTTTGGATTTGAAACATGTTACATTAAAAGCACATGTGAACGTTTGGATTTGAAACATGTTACATTAAAAGCACATGTGATTTGTCTTTTTCCACGTGTTTCCCATGTGAGACACACAGGTATCGCACATGTAAAACATGCAAATCACTTGTTAGAACAATGTATCACAATTTATTTTCATTCCTCATCCATAAGTATGTTTTTACCTTTGCTTTTAGTACAAATGGAACTATGTGTTAACTACACATTCATTTCACATGTAATTTTACAAAGTCCAGGTCAGAGTTATTTTAGAAAATCTGTGGCAAACCTTCATTTTCATTTCTGCTGGTGTTTACATATCTAATAATTCTCATTTTTCATGTCCAAGAGACTTGGGTCAAAAATACCCATATCAGAGTAGTTTTTTAGCTTTAAACAAACCGAAAAAAATATATAAATCGTTTTCTGCATTTAATAGAAATTGCTTCTTGACAAGTATTTTGTTTAAACTCTCTTACTGCTTTCCAAAAATATGTTATATAAATTATCTTTATGAGGTATATTCGCAAACAAACAGAGAGAACCATCAATACTCTTCAAGAAAACAGTTTTGTCAAGAAACGATTTAAAAATCTAAACTTACAGGAGCACCTGGAATCCCTGGAGTTCCTGGAAAACCCTGGAAGGGAAAGAAAATTAAAGACCAGTTTAGGATCAGGGGTATATGATTTTCAAAAATGGTTTAAGATCAAATTAGTGCAGGAGGACATGCTTACATCTCTTCCATCTCTGCCACTTTCTCCTGGTACGCCTCGAGGGCCCTCAGGGCCAGGGGGACCTGGGGGACCTTGAAGAGATTTGTCAGGCTGAGAAAGGAGAAAACGGTCAGTTTGTGGCATTCACTACAAAAATAATCAAGAATTGAGTTCAGATATATAAATTCAGTGCTATTCTGACCAAATAATGAGGTAACTAAACATAATGTATTCAATAGCATTATATGCATATCATGCATTTGAAGGACATAAGAACATTTAAGGATTTTTACTAATTCAAGCCAAAAAACTAGATACCTACATCTATACAGATTACTTATAAACTGTATTTCACGTTATAGCTTAGATCTAATGAAAAACCAGAATGTAGTTTTATTTAAAAAGGGAATATTATATAATATCAATAAAAGATAAATTTGGAACCAGAAATGCAGGCTGATAAAAATCTGTAGTCTATTTGTAGGGTTTATGTGTCAGTGCTCAGATGGGACTCCTTTGCATAAATTCACCGTGGCTCCGGTTCTCCTAATTGTGGAGGTGTAGTTTAGTAGTTTAAACTTAAATTACTGTTACAAACTCATCTATTTTCCCTGATATTTGCTTTTTTTTGGGTCTGAGATGCCAGAAAAACCTTTTTTTTTAGAAATATGAACTCTTCTGTGTTTTATAGATTTTTCTACTGTTTTTTTTTATATATAATTGTGTGTAGTTCTGTCGTACTGTTTGGTTACCTACCATTGCTTCTATAATACATATCAATTCATAATTTGTCATTATGTTCTCCCTTATTTCTTCATTCCACTCACCTTTCCAGGTATATACTTTCATATATCACTCAATGACAGTAAGCATAATTTTAGTCTGTAAAACTCTTTAGTCAGCATTGAACCCATTATGATGCAGGCCTCAACATTTCTCTGAAAAAAACACATTACTATGCTTCCTATGTAATATTCAGATTATCTAAGAAAATTGTGTTTATTTTTTTTCCCATGGCCAAATTTATCAAATCTGAAAAATAAAAAAAATAACAATGTTAAAAATAATATTTTTCTCTGTAATGAATAGATTTAAGATTGATTTCTAAATAAAAAAGAAGAAGTTTTTTTAAATCAGGTGTCTCTGAGATATTTTTCATTTATTTGCCAAATGTGCCAGGTACCATTATTGTTTACCAAGGTTAAGATATTGTTAATGCCTGCTATGACTACTGGGTAAACAACTTTTTTATTAGATCTAGTGAGGAACTACTTTGTTAGTTTCGGAAAGGTTTTAGTAAGATCTAAAGTTCAGTGTTAAAAAACAAGAATCCAGTATGTTTTATGATAATCTATTGCTAAATGTATTTGGTAAGTTTCACCAACTGTTAGTCAAATTGAAAACTGGTTAGGGAGGCTGCTGGGAAGTCAACTGTAACACTTCAGGAGCTGCAGGTTTTATTTTTAAGTATTTATTGGCTGTTTTGCATGTTAGCAATCTCCTGTATCTCTAATGGTCTGGAGTAGAGAGTAGGGTTTCCAGACAGCAGCCTTCCATTAAAACCCCATTCATTTGTTCATTAATCACATGTGAAATGAACGGGACATGTGGAATTTTTCATGCTAAAACCACATGTGATTCACACGTTTTCACATATGACGCAAATGTTCCTCATATGTGAATCACACAGAGTTCAAAGGGCAAAATCACATGTGAAAATGTGTGTCTCATGTGATTTATGTGTTTTACATGGGAATCTCAAAATAATGACTGAAATTCCAAATCATGACTTTGAATCTCATAATTATGACTTTAGTTATTATAATTGTGAGGTTATTCCTTATAATTGTGACAATATACCTCATAATTAGGAATTTTAATCTGCTGATTATCATTTTGTATCATATATATGACTTTATATCTTAAAGGAATAGTACACCCAAAACATGATTAGCCTTCATTTTCTACTCACCCCCATGCTGAACAACACTCTGGAGTACTTTTTTGAT